ACGCGCCACGATTGATAGATAGACTGGGGGGGGGGGAGGACTAAATGATATTGGGTGTCCTACAGCCATTCAGGTGGGGGTCAGCAATGGTAATGGTATTTGTGGGGTGACCTCTGGGACTCTAGCTGCGTGGACTGAAATGTCATGGAGTCTCTTCTGCCTCTTCCCAGGATCCTCAAGACTCCGATCTGAAGACCTATGGTGAAGTTGCTGACACCTCCGAAGATTTCACCTTTGCCATCGTACATAAAAAGGAAATATTCCAGAAATTCGGGGTCACTGCAGATGCCGTCCTTTTCTTCACCCAGGTACAATCTTCTTCTCTCATCTTAGAGCCGATTGTAAATGCACCATTTTGTGCCATCGCACCGCACTGGAAAGCAGGGCATTGCTGCACCACACGCTCAGGTGCGGGTGATCGCACTGCAGGCGGGAGGCGTGTTAGCGGTGCCACTGACATGAATGGCACCACAAGGCCCCCCCCTCCTCAGAATGCGGGGAGCCTATGTTTGTGCGATCCAGTGCGTTCATGGCATGGAATCGTGCTCTTAACGCACTGGATGGTGTGACCGGGCCCTATAGATGAAGTTTATCTGCTGTGAGATATGACCCGGCAATGGATTCCAATAGTACTGGATTACACGGCACTGGATTCCAATAGTACTGGATTACACGGCACTGTATTCAACAGTACGGGATTATACGGTACTGGATTCCTCAGTACTGGATTACCCGGCACTGGATCCCAACAGTACTGGATTATCCGACACTGGAATCAACAGTACTGGATTACCCGGCACTGGATTCCACAGAACTGGATTACCCGGCACTGGATTCAACAGTACTGGATTACCCGGCACTGGATTCCACAGTACTGGATTATCCGGCACTGGAATCAACAGTACTGGATTACCGGGCACTGGATTCCACAGAACTGGATTACTGGGCACTGGATTCTACAGTACTGGATTACCCGGCACTGGATTCCACAGTACTGGATTACCCGGCACTGGATTACCCGACACTGGATTCCACAGTACTGGATTACCCGGCACTGGATTCCACAGTACTGGATTACCCGGCACTGGATTCCACAGAACTGGATTACCCGGCACTGGATTCAACAGTACTGGATTACCCGGCACTGGATTCCACAGTACTGGATTATCCGGCACTGGAATCAACAGTACTGGATTACCGGGCACTGGATTCCACAGAACTGGATTACTGGGCACTGGATTCTACAGTACTGGATTACCCGGCACTGGATTCCACAGTACTGGATTACCCGGCACTGGATTCCACAGTACTGGATTACCTGGCACTAGATTCCACAGTACTGGATTACCTGGCACTGGATTCCACAGTACTGGATTACCTGGCACTGGATTACGTGGAACTGGATTCCACCTGCACTACATGTAACTGTTTTGTATTTTTTCTTCTACTAGTCAGGTGAGAAATATGAACACAAGTTGGACGAGGAGGTGGGCTTGGACAAGGACGAGCTCTCCCGATTCCTGTCGGCGAACAGCATGGATCTGGTGACAGAATACAATGAAAAGGTACAAATTCTGATTGAAAATTAAAGGGATCATGTATAAACCTTCATACAGAAATAGTGCCACTAGATGGCGCTGACGAGTACAGGAATTTTTATAGATGAGCCCCCTATATCAGGTATGGGCAATTATGGCCCTCCAGCTGTGCTTTAACTACAAATCCCAATATCCCTCTGCCTCTGGGAGTCATGCCTGTGGCTGTCAGTCTCGCAATGCTTTGTGGGACTTGTAGTTCCATAACAGCTAGAGTTGTTTACCCCGATCTACTTAAATATACCCCAAAATAATGTGCTGTCCATAGCGTGAGCTCCACTATTGGCAATATATATTGATGCCCATATGGTTATATAGTATAAAGGGGGGACTTACTCACTGGGGTGGACCTACTCACTCCGGAGAGTTACTCACTGGGGTGTACTTACTCACTTGGGGGACTTAATCACTTGGGTGGACCTACTCACTGGGGGAACTTAATCACTGTGGGGACTTAATTACTTGGGTGGACCTACTCATTGGGGTGACTTACTCACTTGGGAGACTTACTCACTGGTGTGCACTTACTTACTGGGGTGGACTTTTCACTGGAGGGACTTACTCACTGGAGGGACTTTCTCACTGGGGTGCACTTACTTACTGGGGTGGACTTACTCACTGGAGGGACTTACTCACTGGAGGGACTTTCTCACTGGGGTGGACTTACTGGGGTGACTTACTCACTGGGATGGACGAACTTACTGGGGGGAATTTACTCACAAAAGGGACCTACTCACTGGGGGTGGGGCTTACACTCTGGGGTGGATTTACTCACTGGGGGTGGGGCTTACACACTGGGGTGGATTTACTCACTGTGGGGTCCTTACTCACTGGTGGGGCTTATTCTTGCCATTTTGATTGGAATTTGTTTTTTCCCCAATCTAAGATTATTTCTAGTGCACCCATAGTGAGAGATTCTTGAGATAGATACATCACATATTTGATACAATAACCTCCTGAGGAAGTGGACCGTTGGTCTAAGAAACGTGTAGAGAATAATGCACAGCCCAGCCATCTTGTTTTCCTATCCTGAGTGATGTTTTGGACAAGACTATTTTTGAAAGCTGACACTTAAATCCGGCTTCTCCAGACATGATGGTTGTCATTAAAAGACCCGATGGGAACAGATTAGGAACCCTTCACACCGAGGTGTTCCATCCGACTCCTTCGATTTCTCTCAGCACTATGGCCAAAAAATGTAACTAATTCTCTCTCTCTCTCTCTCTCCCTCCCTACATCTATCTTTCTTTCTCTCTCTCTCTCTCTCCCTCCCTATCTCTCTCTCTCTCCCTCCCTATCTCTCTCTCTCTCTCTCGCTCCCTCCCTATATCTTTCTTTCTCTCTCTCTCTCTAGTAAGATAGAGGAAGGGAGGAAGGGAGGAAGGGAGGGAGAGAGAGAGAGAGAGAGAGAGAGAGAGAGAGAGAGAGAGAGAGAGAGAGAGAGGGAGAGGGGGTGAGAGAGAGAGAGAGAGAGAGAGAGAGAGAGAGAGAGAGAGAGAGAGAGAAAGATATAGGGAGGGAGAGAGGAGAGAGTAAGGTAGAGAGAGAGAGAGAGAGAGAGAGAGAGAAAACAACTGTTACTTTTTCTTTTTTCACCAGACCTCAGAAAGGATTTTCGCAGCCAAGATCCCAAATCACCTTCTGCTGTTTGTCAACAAGACGGAGGAGTCACAGCTCCAGCTGGTGGAGAATTTCCGTGGTGCAGCTGCTGAATTTAAAGGCCAGGTGAGTTGTCCAATACTCCAGCAGGCCGACAGTAAGAATAATGCATCTTTATATTAGCGTTCATCCTGCAGGAGCCATAAAGTTTGCCATAAAGTTCACCATGGAGCACAGGAAATCACTACGCTCCTCAGCTCTGCAAACATATTATAAATACACCCCTAACAGGGGGTTTCCTGTTAATCCTGCCAGAAATCCATCCTGTGCGCTCTGCAGTGTCCTCATGGTATCTGGAAATATGAGGCATCGAAATTGACACAGCATCTGTCAGCACACAATTCTAGCTTTGAAGGTTTTGGCTGGAGTTGCACTTCAGAGACCTTTCAATTGAAAATAATTACATATGAAAGTCTGTCCAATGAGAGTTTACTGTTTCAGGTACACTGGAGGACACTAGGGGGAGCTCTTATCCACTGCTCCACTCATTCTTGAAAGAAGATCCTGTGTGCAGTGGCATGTCCAGGGTGTAGCACATTTGGCACAAGGTCTGCGTTGGGGGTGCCGCTCCATGGGTTGGTGAAAGTTTTCTGACCCACGGAGACAGCTGAATTTTTTTCTCTCCCCATCCCTCTCCAGCTATTATCAGCCAGGGAGCGGTGGCTGGCGTCCCGCCCAGCTCCTGGCAACCAGTGATGTCACTGGTTGCCAGGGGCTGGGCAGGACGACGGCCAGAGCGCCCCAGGTTGCTCACAGCTGGGCGCTGAGATGTGTAAGGGCCATACACATTTCCCTGCCCGGCTTTTAGGAACCAGAGGGGGCAAGGGGATGTGAATGCGGGCGGGCCGCAGTCCAGGGCGTCCCAGGTTGGTAAGAGCTGGGCATGGAGATGTGTATGGTCCTTACACATCTCCCCGTCCAGCTCTAAGCAACCTGGGATGCTCTAGCCAACGTCCTTCTCAGTTCTTGGCAACCAATGACATCACTGGTTGCCAAGAGCTGGGCGGGAAGGCAGGGGTGCAATTTGTTGTAGATATGGCTCTGCCTGTGTGTACTTTGTAGCTTTAAAAACTCCTTCTTCTGCTCGTCCCACTCAGGTCCTTTTCGTCTCCATTGATGCTGCTGGGCCTCACGCGGGAATTCTGGAATACTTTGGACTCCAAAACAGCGACATCCCGACCATCCGATTCATCAACATCGATCTGGTGAAGAAATACGCCTTCAGGGCGGAGAAAATAACAACGGAGGCCGTGAGGGAATTCTGCCAGGGGGTCCTGGATGGCAAAATCAAGGTGCAAAACCTTTATCCAATATAAACATCTTAATTGTCATATCAAAAAACACTGCATTACACTGGGCCTCAGGAACTGGTACCGTTCCATTGCAATCACTGGTTGCTAGGACCGCCGGGTGGTCCTAGCAACCAGTGACGTCAAATGTGTTCCCCGCCCCCCCATTACAGGAGGACAAAATAGTATCTTCTTCCATCTTCTCCTGCATCCTTAGCCACCCCCCGCCTCTGGCTTACTAATAAAGTTGGAAAATAAGGTATGTGGGGACAGTAATATAAAGGGGCACGCTAAAGGGGACAAACAATGTAAGGGTGCAGTCTAATGGGGACAACTAATAATCAGGGTGCCCCCTTACATTGTTTGTCCCCCCTCAGGGTGCCCCGCTTACACTTTCCACATAAGGGTGCCCCCTTTACATTGTTTGTCCCCATCAGGGTGCCCCATTACATTTTTTGTCCCCATCAGAGTGCTCCCCCTTACATTGTCCCCATCAGAGTGCTCCCCCTTACATTGTCCCCATCAGAGTGCTCCCCCTTACATTGTCCCCATCAGGGTGCCCCCTTACATTGTTTGTCCCCATCAAGACAAACATTAAAATTAAATATGTTCTCTTTGGAGGTTACGAGATTAAGGGGGGACATGATTTTCCTGTATAAACTATTTAAGGGCGACAACATAATTATTAACAAACTGTTCACGGTTAGCTCCGTAACAAAGACCAGAGGGCACAACCAAAAATTGGTGGGAAAAAAATTTCAACACACAGGGCGCAGGAGGTTCTTCACAGTTAGAGCGGTTAAAGTCTGGAACTCGCTGCCGCAGGAAGTGATTTCAGCAAAGAGTGTGGAATCGTTCAAGAAACTCCTGGACGAGTTCCTTGGAGACCATAACATACAGGGGTACAGGTACGCCTAAGAGCAAAATCACACATGGACTAATACACATGCACACACCTGCTCAAACATAAATGCATACACACAATAGGTTGGACTTGATGGACCTGTGTCTTTATTCAACCTCAAATACTATGTAACTATATGCAAGGATGCCTCTCCTACAATGTCCACATCAGGGGGCCCCCTTACATTGTTTGTCCCCATCAGGGGGCCCCCTTACATTAACTACGAAAATAAGGGGTCATTCTG